AACTTCCACTACATTTGCTTTTGACACCATTGAAGAATTCCCGACTTTCTTTTCAGATGTGCGGTTATCTTTTTCAATTCTTAGCCTGACAATCAGGTCTTCGAGCCCCATTTCCTTACGCTTATGCTTCAAGTAATTTTTAAAATCTTTCCAAGTAGGTGGCAGCTTTTCAATGATTGAAGCCACTTGAAAGGATTCACTCAATGTCATCTTCTCAGCATGTATCTCAAGTAGGATCAGCTGGAGCTCCTGCACTTGGCTCATGATTGTCTTGGAGTCTATCATTTTAAAGTCTAGAAATCGTCCGACCACGAACTTCTTCAAGCCAGCATCCTCTGCTTTATACTTTTTGTTTAGTAACTCCCAGAGCTCTTTAGCAGTATTTATTGGACTGTACACATTATACAAAGTGTTGTCCAATCCATTGAGGATATAGTTCTTGCATAGGAAGTCTCTATGATTCCATGTATCAACAGCTACTAGCTTGGAAATGTCAGTCTCACCCTCATCTAGCACTGGGGCAGTTTCAGTTAGATACTTGCTTAGATTCAGAGTTGTAAGGTAGAACATCATTTTCTGTTGCCACCTTTTAAACTCCGCCCCATTGAATTTTTCGGGCTTCTCCCCATGACTGATGGGAACATTAGGCATAGTAGTACTTTTACTTACCATTTGTCTGATATATATTAAATATACAGACCACGGTCAAATTTACAGAAATAAAATAGCAACAATATTTAAATAATTAAACTATAATATAATCAGAATCTGTCTTAAGATTGTTGTCAAAAATATGGTATAAGTATACCATATACTATAGTATTATTTATTTAAATATTATCTATAAATATAAAATAATATAATGCTTATATGTATAATTATTATAAAATAATAATCTATATATATAATTACTTATAATATATAGTTTAATAAAATAAATAAAAACTATAAATAAAGGAACCTGATTAAAAGTCGAGGGTAGAATTTGATTCTATGTCCTTAAGACAGATTCGCCCTACTATGGAGCTTACGGACTCAGTGGCGTCTATCTCCCAGGATACAACGACTTGTCTTCCTTTGGTAGTAGCACTGCAAATCAAAGGAATAGGCGAATTGGCTCAGTGTAATACTCTCTGACTCGAACTCGGACTCAGAATGACTGACTAAGGTCCGAACCCAAATACTAAGGCTCGAACCCATAGAGTAAAGAGAGAAGGAGGAAGAAGAAAATTCAGAAGAAGAGAAGAATTCTCTGAATGTTGGTGTGATTTGCAAATTATCCAAAGGGGGGGTATTTATAGGTTGCAAGGTGCCTTTTCGGGTGGGTGCAACCATGGGTTATGATGGTTCGGAAAAAGGTGCAACCCTTTGTAAAAAACTAAAAAGTGGTTTTTTAATTTAAATTAAAAAAACTAGCCATTTGTGAAACCTATTTAAATAAGCCCAGCCCAAAAACAGGCCCAATCCAAAATTCCATTTAGTAAAAAGAATAATCGGACTTTATAATTAGGCCCAAGCCCAAGCCCAAGTCCAAATCTAGACCCAAGCTTGACTTATTTAAACTTCAATTGGTTTCAACATTGTTCCATTTAGGCTTATCAAACACCTCACTTTTGATCTAATTTCTCATTCACCCGAAAACGGATTTGAGAAAGTAAATATACCACGTCCATCTCCTTGCAGAGAGGAACGCACTCATCTATAGATCCGCAAAAAATTCTTAGCGGAATCTATTCAAATTCTCATTCAAAGTTTATGTTTTTAATGCCCCCGTTTTCCAACAATATGTATATAACCTAAAATGATATTATTGTTTATTAATTTAGTAAAAAAATTATATTAGAATGATAATTTAAAAATTATAAATAAGTCATTAAGTACGGTAAATAGTCTTCAAAATTTTGGTAAAAATTACTAAAATTCACCAAAAAAAAAAAAAAAAAAATCATTTTTATTGAATTATGTTGTAAAAAAATTTGTATCTGTGCATTTAGAATCCTATGTGCAAAATAAATAAAAAATTGTGACTGCGATAATTGATTTTGTTAATATATTGCGACTATAAACCTCGATAAAAGTACCTGTTTTGTAGAGAATTGACCTACTTTTTGAGTCAAGGGAAGATTTCATCTACTCTTTTAAAGGAAGAGAACGCAATCCTTTAACCGTAATGCATAATCTCTTATTTGAAAAACCTATGGTCATGCTAATACTTTGTGTCAATCTACTTAGATGTGAAACTTAATTTACATGAATTTCAAAGACTAAGAATTTTTTTTATTGAATCAAACCAAATAAGTGAAGGGAAGGAAAGCCACAAATAATTGTCGAACTTTACATTCCTTAACCTAGAAATTAGGAGACAAAATATAAAACCCTAGCCTTATGGCTTTAAAATTTATAGTCTTGCATTTTTCACCATGAATCTGAAAGTTTGAAAACATCAGTCCAAAATAAATATGCGAAATTCCTCACCATGTTATAATTTCTTTAGCAAAATTAGCTTATTTAGTTCATGACACTACAATAAATTTGGATTCTTGCCACGAAATGTTTTGCCACAAATAAAATTTTATGGCAAAAAGTATCTTTTGGCCACAAAATTAACTTCTTGTGGCTAATATATGAATGTTTGCCATGGAGTAAATTTTTCGTGGCAAATACTAATTCTTGCCACGAATATTAGCGACGACCTAAAAATTTGTGGTAAAATATCAATTTTGCCACGACGAATTAGGGACAACATACAAAGTTGTGGCAAAATGCTATTTGTGCCACGAATTTCTATTCGTGGTAATTGTATGTTTCGTGGCAAATCACTTTACAATTTGCAAAAGATAGATCTTGCCACGAATTATCAGTTGTGGCTATGATTTGCTCTATTGCCACGTAACTATTTTCGTGGTAAATCTATTAGTTATTCGCAATGATGCTTTATTCGTGGCAAATAATATCTTTTGCCACGAATTTTCAATCCTTGTGGCGAAATGCCATTTTTGCAACGAATTTGTTTTCATGGCAATTAGGAACTATTTTGCCACGAATTTTCAATCCTTGTGGCAAAATGCCATTTTTGCAATGAATTTGTTTTCGTGGCAATTAGGATATCTTTGTTGACTATTATTATTTATTTATTTAGTTTTTGTAATTCCTTAAATAAGGGGCCTAGAACACCGAATCCCTAAGCAAATTAATTAATTAATTGTTAATAAAACTCGAAAAAGGCATTTCCTTTAAATTTGACTCTTTTTAAATTGGGAACTTAAACTCGTTTTAGTATTCTATCTCTATCTTCTTCTGCGAGCGTTAAAATGGCCCAAAGTTTAACATTGGTGTAAGGAAATTCGATATTCTACAATTTTGTATTTCACAAAAAATTTTGTAAAAATATTGTTTACTATGTCAAAATTGGGCTGGAAGACAGCACGAATTTTGGAGTCCAAATTTGGCAGAATTTCCATATATCTCCTATTTGGAAAATGAAACTTTGGGGCTATTCTTCTCTAATGTAAAGAAATTTCTCTACACCATTGGGAGAAGATCATCATCATATACATGAGCTAGAGGCTAAGATCAGAGGAAAAGAAAGAAGGGATCAACATATGGTGGCGAAGATGCTCTCCCCAATCATGAAGAAGTCCATTCCAGTCATAAGCGGCTAAAAACTTTGCTAGGGCTGTGATATAGCCCTAGCTTAACGCTACAGGTTTGATTGTATTTATTTATTGGAGAATAATATTTTTTCATGCATGATTGTATAACCTAGAAGATTTTATTTGAATTTTCAATAGAAATCATTTACAAAGTTTAATATAATTGTAGAGTATTTTCTATCTTGTCTTAGGTTTTTGATGTTTGTGATTGAACACAACTCATTTACTTCTTGTAGTTGTAAATGAGATGGTTATGCAACGGTTTTTCATTTAATATAATATTAGGGTTTTGATGGATTATGCTTAAAAAAGATAGACATAGTACACCCTAGAGTAGAGTAGTTAGGTAGATGGTTTATGCTAATCGAAGATAGTCCATACTTAGTTTTAATTTTATAATATCTTCTAGCTGAATTAATATGTGCTTGTAGCCATGATTAATTTCTTATGCATGTTTCATATCTCTCTAATAAATTGATGCATCTGACTGGTAATGCGACGTTAGTGGTGAAATCATGTCCCTAGTATCTTCTCTCCCCTCATATTTTCCTCATTTAATTTAGTTGTTGCATTTAGTTTAATTTTATGTTCATTAGACTAAATTATTATTCCATCATAATTCGTTTGTCATACTTCAAATTAATTTAGAATTTAAGAAGTCTGTTAACAACTTAATTAATACAAGTCTCTTGAGTATGACATCTTACAAAAAGCCCTATCTGCAAAGCTTCGTGCGCTTGCAAGTGGTTATATCTAAGCTTACAACAATATCCTAACAAAAGGACCATTTCCACACTTCTGGCATGGTAAGGCTCCCGTTGTGTGGAACAAATTCACCGTAAAATGGTTGACCAAGTTTTGGGGCATTTTTCAAATAGAAAAAATAATATTTTGTAATAAATAAAAGAATATTATAAATTCAAACTCTAGAATTTCTCAATTATTGCACTATGTATTTATTAGATCAAATAAGTACATTCAACCATAGAATTAACTGTCAAAAAAAGAAAATGTACTTAACAAAAAACAACTTTGAAACTATTCACTTCATATTGTCCCTTGGCCCGTAAGTCTTCAAATGAGATTAAAATTCTAGTTCTTCCAATCCAAGCCATTGTAATAAATTATGCGTGTATAAAAATTTCTCATGGTTAGTAACATAAGCCATTGAATTAACTAATCTAGGAGTTATGGGCTAGTAAAATTATAATATTTTGGATAAATGGTGAGTTATATGAATTAACAATTTTTATTAGAAATTACTTAATTAGGTGACATTTTTTAAATGTTGACTTAGAATTAAAAATTAATTTATTAATTGTTATATAATTATAATATTTATATACAAATTAATTTAGTTTGATTAAATTATTTATATAAAAGAATATTGTCTTTCTCCTCATACAAAATTAGGATTCTAGTTCTTGCAATCAAGCCTACTTTAATTTTTAAAAAATTAAATAGCTAAACATTTCCCGCCCACAAATTTCCCATTCCCGCGCGCGCCTCGGCCCTTAGCCCACTCTGTAAATAAATGAATATTAAAAAAAAAAAATTGCCCTAAAAATTTGCACCCACTCTCGACAATTCCCACTCTTTCCAGATTCCCCACTTTCTCCAAAAGCCCCATTCTCAGTTATGCCTTAAAAATCCCTAATTGCGGCAAGCAAAGGAATATAAATCCCTAATTGCGGCAAGCAAAGGAACCCACTAATCTGTTTCAAGGGAAGGTTGCCTTGCTTGTTTGGATCGCGATTCCCTAAGCTCCAAATTGAATGGTGATTCTTCTCCCCTCTCTCCGTCCTAATTCAAGCAATAGCCCCCTCAGGTGCTCAGGTTTTGTATGCGTGTTTGGCTGTTCTGTTAGTCTGATAACTCAGACTGGGGAGGCTCAAACGGATGGGTTAGCCACATTAACGGTGCCCTCTTTCACTTCCGGCAACCCAAGGTAAGTTTCAAGGTCCCTTTTATGAAGAAACCAACAATCTGTATATGTTTATATATATATATATATATATATATATATTTTTTTTTTGTGTATTGTCAGGTGTTGAAATTGTCTTTCCTTCTAGGGTTTTTGTTTATTTTTTTTAATTTTGTTTGATTCTGAAATTTTCAACACTTTCCTACTTTCAAAATTGGCGATGATTTGAACTGTGATTCCTGAAATTAACAACTACGTGTTTTTCGCTGTGTCTTCTGAAACCACATGGTTGGACTGTTGAATTTCAGGGCTTTTGAAGGTTTTTGAAGGGCGGCCAGAATTGCGACTCCTTAGCTGTGGGGTTAGCGTACCTTGCCTTAGATTATTTTGTGAGTTTGGGTCTAGGTCCAAGTTCTGGTATGTACAGATTTGTGTGTTTATATACGTATAGATTAGATGATTTTTGCATTTTCTTCTATATGCTTTATACGAACCGGTGAGGCTTATTTGATGAATGCATACAATCTTTTGTATCTTTAGATGCATTAATTAAACAAGCCAATTTCAATTATTAATTAATTAAGTCTATGACAAAACATAAAATATATATTGTTTAGAGATTAATCACCAGTGAGACCATTTTCTATCATCTCTACAATACCACTTGGGCATGTTACAATCGGATTGCTTGTTCTTAGTTTCTTCTTTTCGTTGGTGTAGATGTTTGTGTGTGTGTGTATATCACATATAACTATTTAAAGATGCAAACTTTCTCACAAGATTGATTTTGATTGTATGGTTGATATAAACTGGCTATATGTCTTGTTCTTGTATAATATATAAAAATAACTTTATGGGCTTGCTTAATTTCTACTTTGTTCTTTTGCTTTTTCTTTTTTCATTGTCAATTTGAATCTGTGACCAACCTTCTTTAATTTTTTTTTTTTTTTGTACTCACATAACAAATTATTAACTTCTACTATTTTATTGTTCTTTGTTTTTTTAAATTTTTTATTTTTCGGTAAAGTAACAAAATTGTATTGGGTAAATCTGCTTCTATCCCTCTGGAAGTCTCTGGATTAGGGGAATTATGCATGGTGGAGGATTACACTGTTGTGTAGGTCATTATAAATATTTAAAAGAAAATAAAAAGTTTTTTTTTTTACCAAAAAGAAAATAAAAGATTATTGAGTTACTTCAAGTCTTCAACCAATTCATATATCATCAGAACTAAACTTCACTTCTCTACATCATAGGAACAAAATCTCACACATATAAAATTCGCAAAATCTAAGTTACTCTGGACAACACAGAATTTGCTTTAAAATTGGAATTGAAAATCATACTACTTGCAACTTTAAACTAATTAATTTCAAAAACTCTAAATTTCATACTTAAATGGTATAAGCTAAGTTTTACCTGCATAACTTAGGTTTTGCCATTTTCGCATTCCCGTTCTCGCTCTCGCTCCCACTTTTGTGTGACTTAAGGAGTCTAAGCTATCCTCCCCGGGTATAAGCAATAATACTTCAATTCCAAATTATGTATAAATTATATATATACATGGGATTCAAAACTTGATGTTTCTTTCATCTATTTCCAAATACCATTGACCAATAACTTACCGGATATAAAAAACTCCAACATAATACTGTTAACCAATTAACACTCAAGTGGCACCACTTATTGAAATAGGCTTGTTTGATGAATTCATCTAAAGATAAAAAAGACATGACTAACAAATTTAGGTTATTTTTTTTTAGGATTTATCAGCAACTAATGTAGCATTAATCATATCTATAAAATTGGTTTTGAGGTTGTAAGTTGTTTATTTTGTTGTTGATGTATGGCTTGGGTTGGTGGGTTCCTTTTTATGCTTGGGTTTGGCAGTGGTTGTCCAGCTGGAGATGGGGTTGGTTTGTGAAGATTTGGTATGAGCTTTTTATTGGGAAGAAGATGCATACTCACTGGAGTTGTGGGTGGGTCTTATTTTTGGGTTTTGGCTCGTGGTTGTTGTTATTGAGCATTTGGAGGCGGCAACATATTTGCCATCCCATAAGTGGTGCTACTTGAGTGTTAATCCTGTTTGGTTGTGCTTATTTTTTGTGTATTGGATTATGGCTTTTTGTTTTCTTTTGTACTCATTGTTTTTGGGTTTTTGAATTTGGTTTCTTTTGCTTTAGTGGGTCTGGGGTTTCCATGATTTTTGTACCCCCTAGTGTATAATTTTGGATTTGCCATTTTAGTTTTAATAAAATAACTCAACGCTATAAATGTTGTTAATATCATTATCCCATGTTGGACCAATTGTAGGTCTTTTGAATCTAGTTATAAGATAGCACCGACAATAGCTTGAATGCTTGATAGTATGAGAAAGCTAATATTTCATTTTTTTTTTTTTTTTTAATTTTATTTAAAGGTTCTTGTAGTGAATAAGCATGAACGCATGAAATTAAAATCAGAAATTATAGAGTTTAAATTAAACACTTTTAAGTACATAAAAGTAGTAATGATTGACTGTTAATTTTGCAATAAGTTATTGTAAGCCTGTTGAGCAACTGGTTGATGGCCATAAGTTAATTTTGCTTTGGCCATCAACATGCTTAGGATAAAGCAAAATTAACTTATTTTTCTGATTCTGCTTTGATTAGTAAAACATCTTTCCCTAAACAATATCTTTATGTTATCTGAATACCTAATTTTTTTAATACTAATTTATTTGTAGACACTTCTTAAACAATCTCTCCCTTTGACTATAATTGAGGGGGACTATTTATTTGTACCAGTAAAGTATCAATAAGTGTTATTGAATGTTTCGGCTTTTCAATTAATTTTGAAGTGCAATTAGCATGAGAATGAGATTGTAATATTTTCTCCAGAAATAAGTACTCGTTGCAGGAACTTGTTCTTATCGTGTGATCACATACATCTTGCAAAGGCATTTACTTGTTTCTACTTGTATTTAGTTTGAATTCCATTAATTTCAATACAACACATCAGTCTTAGGAATGGAAAGAAATTGTATGTCAGTGGTCTTCTAGAAGAACAATTTAATTTGGAATTAATATGGTAAGCAACTTGTCAAGACTAGGCATATCAAACCAGCCCCATTCCAACCATAACTTGTTGATCAACTAATTGGATGCTCCTTTTCTTCTTTGAAGAATTTTTTTTATATATATATTATATTTCTTATTAATTAGGAAGAAAATGAAACATTAGGAAGAAAATGAAACATTCTTGTGGAGAGGAATACTAATATACTAATCAGTTTGTGATTAATTTTAGTTTTCTATTTCGAGTTTGGACCACTTCTAGTTCAACTTTATAACAAGTTTTAGTTCTGAGACTAAAATCTCAAATTGGTTTTGGACAAAGCACAACACAACCCTTAAAATCTCTATGGAGCTTAACAATGGCGAATCAAAATCTGAGCAATGCTCATTCTGAGTTGCGTTCCTGTCCAGTTTGGGGTATAATAATGCATAAGTTCTTGAAGCACGCCGTGTGGCTGCAAAACAAGCATTTCAGGCTCTGTCAAGTGAGATTACAGAAGAAATCTGGAGCACACTATATTTTCGTGTTGTAAAGAAAGCATTGTGTGAGAAATGAAGGTTGTTTTGCAACAGATCTAAGAGTGAAGATAAGGTTTGTCTGCATCTTTAGCATTAAAATACTTCATGATTTATTACAATGACTACATCTGAGACCAGTTGCTCTTAAGCTTCGCATCTGGATGATTTGTAATAACTGCACTGTATGAATTTATTTGTTAATATATGAAGTTGATGTCCACTGGACCTTTCAGTTTATAAATAAATAAAAAAGTTTTAGTTTTGAGACTACACCATTTACAATTCAAGTATGAACCACTTTTAATTACTTTCAGTTGACACCACTTTTGGATTGAGTTTGCACCCTTTTTGATTCAGTTTTGTTACTAGTTTGACTTCCAATTTGTACCACTGATGCTTAGATTGCCTGTCCAGTTTCTTTTTCCCTTTCTCTTTAAATATTTTATACTATAATAATTTGTTTTCAAATGCTATATATGAATATGATATTAGGAACAATTATGGAGAAAAACAAAAGTCTAAGGGTGTTCACAAGCCTTACCAAGTTATAGTCAAAGAGGCCTTCGAACTCTGGAAAAAAATGAGTGCTGAGGAGAAGGAGCCTTATGGAGCAACCTACTTGAAAGAATTGGAAATCTTCAGGAAGGATCAAAAGGTAATGTCTTATAAGATACGACACAGTAACATTCAATTTGGTGGTTATTAAAAATTAGCTTTCTATTTGCCTTCACATGAAATTTATTTTTTCCATAGTTTTAATGGATTAATAGTTTTAAACTTTTAATAGATGGAGCAGAGTAATGAAAAAAGCAGGCAAAAATGAGCTGATTTATCTTTTCTATTGGTGTTCTTATTTTCTGTTTATATATTTTTTTTCATGTAGCATATTTGGAAAACTTAGCTTTAGGTTCATTTTTTTGACATAGGCACTAATTGTATTTATTCATTGTTGGCTTTGCAGATTGTTGGATGAGCTCATGCTACAAGAATTCAAGCTCTTTCTATTTAAGACGGTTTAAGTAGTTTATGTTCAGATCTTTGAACCCTTTGTTTAGGATTCTATAGCTCATTTTTGTGTAAGATCTCGGAACATTCTATTTAGGATACTAGCTTGTTTTTGTCCAGATGCTAAGACTCTTGTTTTTTTTTTTTGCACGATGGACTTTATTGTATATGTTGTAAACAATACTCTTTTGGTTCGTGTGGCTTATGTAATATCAAATATTTATTTATTTGCATAATCATTTTGATGTGTGATTAAATTTTATTTTTGATATTGTTTATAATGTTAATAATTTATAGGTTATACTATTATAATTGGTGTCATATTTATATGTTATTGATATATATAAATTCAAAAAAAAATTAATATATTGAAAAAATGGGAACATTTTTCAAGAACAAATTTTGTGGCCTATTTTGAGTATTTGTTACTATATATATTCGTGGACGATTAAAATTATAGTCACGAATAAACTCCGTTTTTTGGGTAGTTACCATGACATAAACTTTATGACCTATTTTGGGTATTTGTCACGACATATATTCGTGGGCAATTAAATTTATAAATACGAATAAATTCCGTGGGAAAAGATATATTCTACCACGATAAATATTTTCGTGGCAAAAGGATTGAATTAGCATGATTAATTCTTATATTAGGATTGCTACTTGTCATGAAAATATTATTATTTAGTCACAAAATAACTTGTGGCAATAGAAGGTATTTTACCATGAGTTTAAATTTGTAGCAAAAGTTTCACATTTTGCCATGAAAATTTTTAATCGTGGTTATTGGCATTTTGTGACGGGGTTACGCCCACGACTAAGCCACAAGCTATTTTTTGTGGTTAAAAGGCTTTCACCACAAAATTTGAAAGTTTTTGCCACAAAGTATCTTGTGGCAAGAACTCAAATTTGTTGGTACAAATACAATATTTTTATAACAACATCAATCCCATCTGAGAAGTGGACTTGGCACACTGATAAATAGAGACACTCTTGAAACATTGACAAAGCACCTAGCTACAACTGCCTTATTTTAAGAAGGAGAATTAACCTAGAGAAACATTTGACAACAGAACAGGCTATACATGTGTTCTTCAACTATCTGTCACCAAAATGCATCTCTCTTTTAAGATTTGTCCATAATTTAAACATAAGTTCTATGATTTTGGAATTTGACTGGTACGTGCGGGAGGGAGGTAGTTCATATATTAGGTGGTAGATTATGGAGTGCTTTAAGAGACTGACGTACACGATCAAAAATTATTAGCAGACTTAGTGGCATTGACAATATTTGTTGATGTTTTGAAATACCCAATTCGCCCTTTTCAAGCACAAGAATAATTGTATAGGCCATCATGCCCTTCAAGAAAAGAGGGGTAAAATGTGGAATAAACCCTTCAAGAGCGATGTAAAATTAAATGAACCAAGTTAGTTAATTTGCATGTTCAGATCTTCTATTTTTTAACCATGTAAATGCTTCTATTAGGGCCTCAGAATTTTGGGGGCCTCAAATTTTAGGGGCCCATGTATGATGGGTTACAAAAGCAAAAAAAAAAAATTATAGCTAAATGTATCAAATCATTTAAGGGGCTTCAAATTTTATAGGCCCATTAATGTTGGGCCATCAAAAAAAAAAAATTTATAACCAAAATGCAACAAATAAAGGACCTCAAGAATGATGGGCCACCAAAAAAAAATTTATAACCAAACCGAAGCAATTGAAACTCGCCTCCAAATTTAGTACCATCAAAATGGGGCAAGAATGATGGGCCAGCCTCCATATGCAGCAAGAATGATGGGCCATCATCTATTACTAGGGCCTCACATTTAAAGTTTGCCTAGGACCTCTTAAGAATTTTTCAATCTCAGAGTCGGCCCTGCCCTGCTATAATATATTATATTAGTACCCTTCATTCGCGCAAATTGCCGAGACATATAATTGGAATATATAATTAATATGGAAAATGATAATTATGAAAATGAAACATTATAACAATGAAAATGAAGAAATGCTTGAACATATCTAAAAAAAACCTGAATATCTTTGCGTGGTGTATATATATATATACAAATATTAAAATAGTGAGCACATGTGTGCGTATATACACACACATATATAAATATTACCTATACAATCATAATGTACAGTACATAAAGCCACCTGACTGACCGGAGCACTGTTTTGCAAATGTCTTTTCTGTAGCTCATGGGCGAAGGCTTGCCTCGTGTTTTACTCCCCTATTGGGTTTTTACAGTTCCCCTCTATATATTTTATATAATTGACTTTTATCTTTAAAAAAAGTGTAAAGTGCAAAAAAAAAAAAAAACTCTCATCAAAATTATGAGCGTTTTGCAAATAAAATTATAAGAAACGCTTTGAATCATCAATTTGTTGCAATGGAAGACAATTTGACAGTTTGGTTGATCGGAAAAATCAAAAGACAATTATACCCTTCACTAAAACTACGTCACTTTGGCACTTATACATTTACTTGTATGATATGGCCGCTGTAATCTTAAGGACCAATTACAACTTGACACCTCACCCAACTCCCTTCTCCTACTTTCTCTCTATCACACCATCAGAGCCATCAAACATTAATCTGGTCAAAACCCGTTTCCCATTCTCTCTACAAACATTGCCTCTTCCATATTCTCTCTTTCACAAAGGATGCTGATATATATATATATATATATATATATATATATATATATATAGACACACGGAGAGGAAGAGATGCTGATGTATACATAGACACACAAAACAACCGGGAAAGTATGGCAATAGGCGCATATGTTGATCTATAATTATAGGATTGGGTTTCTGATTATCTATTCATATTTATTTCCTTTCCGACCATGTGATTTTGCTTCCATTAGCAAGTTTGGAAGGTTGGATGAATGTGCTGTTAGTTGGGTTATAGCTGTAAGCCTAGAACAACATATTTGTGATCAAGACTTGACTCCAAAATGTTGGTGATGGTTAATGGATCACAAAAGGAATGTGAGTTTTTTTATGTGATTTTTGGCGGAGAGGGTCAGAGGAAGGTGAGGAAGAACAGAGCCTATATGTATTATATGTGTACATATATATAATGAGACAGAGAGGGGATGCTAATCCAGAGAGATTGGATTTTTACTTCTCTCATTTATTTTTTTTACTAAATATTAGATCTTTCTTAATATCAAAATGCAATTTGATTTACAATGATACAACCATGGAAGGTTCCAAGTACAGAGTATCTGTATTGAAGATGGAAAGAGAAAAATGGGTTTGAAACGAGTTGACCTTCAATCCCAAAATCGACTGCCTGAAAGCGCCTTACCTTCAATCTGGGAGTTTTTGGCAGTGATTCTTGTGGGGTAGGTCGTGGTGAGAGGACGGTGGCGGTTGTTAATTCGCCGGGATATAGCGTTGTTACTAGTGGTTGTGGAATGGCAATTATGGTTGTGGAGCGGTCGCCGTAGTGACGATCTGAGGCAGTGGTTGTGGGTGAGGATGGCGGTGGCGACGACCCAAGTTGTGGTGGTGGTGGTTAATCCCCCTGAAGGATTTAATCTCTGTCTCATCTCTGTCTCTCGAATAAGGGAAATGGATTCGGAGAAGATTTGGTATTTTTGTATGACAAAGGTGAAATTGGCATTTAAAAAAAAAGTGGCATGCACGTGGCTAATAACGGCCAAACTTTTTCTAACGGTGATCAGAGGGGGTAAATTGCAACAAGCATGTTAATTGTATTTTTATTATATTTTCGAAGGTAAAATAGTAATTTTTTTATTCTCAAGCATAGATCATAATCTTTTATATATTTAAGTTCAAAAGAACTCGATATTATCTTTTCCAAAGGGTTATATGTCTTGGTTTAAAACAACATTGAAGGCATTATATATGATCCTATAATGAAGTTTGTAGGGTGTTATATTGAAAACCCTTCTCACAGTTGATATTTTAAATATAAAGGATTTGACTTAATATAAGGTATAACATATACATTCCATAATAACTTACCATATCATTGACCCCATGTATAAATATAGGGACAAGTGCAAATATCATTGACCCTGTGTATAAATATGGGACAAGTGCAAAAAATACTCTTAAAGTGTACTACGCGTAAAAGTAACACTTTTATCCATATTTTAAAAAATGTACAAAAAACACTCTTAATCTTTTCACATTGTAAAAAAATACCCCATTTGACATAAAGTAATGTTATAATATCCGGTTTGCCCTTTTATTCTTTCGAAAAAGTTCAAGAGGGTATATATGCTGCTAATCTCATAGTATAGGAGTGTTACGCACACATTACCTTATATATATATATATATATATTTTTAAATTTTTTTTTTCTATATATATCTCTAAATATATATATATATATATATATATATATATATATATATATATATTTAACTTTGAGAATTTGTAAAACAAAGATTTGAATTTTTTGAGATTTCAGTTTACTCATTTCTACTAATTCTTTTTATTTTTTTTAGTACGAACACCGTTAAACAAACATAAAAAAAAAATTCTCAATATCAGTGTGCACGGGTTTTCAGAATTTGGAAAATTTTTGTTTTCTTTAGTTTACACTTTATTTTTATTTTATATTTTATATTTTATATTTTTATCTTTACTTGTCCATTGCCAGTATCCTCCAATAATGTCATTTTCGGTCATTTTATAAATTTATTTATTTTTATATATTTTATAAAATGGTTCAGTAAGGGTAATTTAGTCAACTTAGGGTTTAAATTTGTCAGAGGGACCTATTTGCATCAAATTGAAACTTAAGGGGTGTTTTTTGCACGAGAGGGGCATCCTCCAATAGTGCTCTTTTCAATCATTTACAAAATTATTTATTTTTATATATTTTATAAAATGGTTTAATAAGAATAATTTAGTCAACTTAGAGTTTAATTTGTCAAAGGGACTTATTTGTACCAAATTGAAACTTTAAGAATATTGTTTGCACGTAAAAAGTGTAATATGCACTACAAGTCTTTTTTTGCACTTGAACCATAAAATATATTATATGTTTATGTTACATGTGCAAAATAAACAATTTTAGCAAATCATACAACAGTTGTATAACAAATAATTATTCCACATCATACACCTCATACACCTTATGCCTAATTAAGTAATTATTGCACATCGTACACCATTGTCTATAATGAATAATTATACCAAATCATGTTTTTTTTGGGTAAGTAATCATGCATCTTATGTAATTAGGCATAAGATGTAGGAGGTGT